TAGAGGTACTATCCCATCTTCATGCTCGTCTTCCAGCTGAGCCTGATCATCTTCCAGCGCGATGCTGGCCCAATGCTTCAGGCAGAACGCCGTGCCGTGGACGACAAGCAGGTCATTTCGCCCACGGCCAAGGAGAGTGAGGTGACTCTCGATTCATCCATGGAGCCATCGGAGAGCACGCCCAAGTTGTGGTGGAACAGCGTGGTGCCGATTCTTTCGACTCTGATAGCTGTGTTCGCTGCCCTGCTGGTCACGGGCTACAACACCACTGTGGATGGTGGCCAGGAGATGACTGCAGAGAACTTGTTCGGCAACGGGGACTCTTACTCCGCCCTTCTCTGGGGAGGGTTCATCGGGAGCGTAGTCACCTGGGTCTTCATCCGTTTGCAGTATCAGTACAAGGGCGAGATCTACAATCAATGGAAGCACTGGGTGTCCTGTGACTTTCGCATGCAGATCGATGGAGATGACGCTGAGGCGCCACGGCCCATTCTCAACTTCAAGGAATCCTTGGATGTGTGGATTGAAGGCGTCAAGGGCCTCACCGCTCCAGTGTTGGTGCTGCTCATGGCCTGGGGCATTGGTGCCGCAGTCAAGGATGTCTCGTGCGACCTCTTCTTTGCCAGCGTGTTCTCATCAGATGACTTGGATTATCGCTCCTTGCCGACGCTTACGTTCTTGATCTCCTCGCTGATGTCTTTCTGCACTGGCACTTCTTGGGGAACCATGTCCATCATGTTCCCGCTTGTCTTGCCAGCGGCGTGGATCAGCTCGAACGGAGACCAAGAAATTTTCGTGCTGGTTGTCTCTGCCATTTTGGCAGGATCCGTTTTTGGAGACCATGCAACTGCCATCTCGGACACCACGATCCTCTCTTCCATGGCTACCAAGTGTGACCTCCGCCACCACGTCGTGACACAGCTTCCCTACGCTCTCTTCGTGGCCGTCGTGGCGATTCTCATGGGCTACCTTCCGGCCTCCTTCCTCTTTCCAGGTTGGCTCGGCCTACTCCTGGGCATCGTCGTGATGTTCCT